AAAAAGCTACACAAAGAAACCCTGTCTCGAAAAAACAAAAAACAACAACAACAAAAAAGAAAATCCAAAGCATGTTGGCTTGTGCCTGTAATCCCAACACTCGGGAGGATAAGCAGGAAGTGCGCTGAGAGTTCAAGTCCAACCTGGGCTACCACATGAGACTCTTTCCTGAAAATTTGCACAAAAAAGTCTTGATGCACATGATATGTTGACAACGGAAACTTAAAATACAAAGAGTAAACTAAATAGAAGTGTGTCTTGCAATGAACTGTCATGCAAGGATGTTTAGAAGCATTGGCTACCGACTTAAAGAGATGTCAACAAACATATTAAGTGAAATAAAACAGGGTATAAAATTGTAGATTTTTTTTTCAACCAAGGCATGAAATGATCAAAGGAATCTTCTCCTAGTGCTATAGACAAGTTCCAAGAACACACCTGAGACATTTTAATATCTTATCAACTTGGATCCAGGCAAAGAACATGGACAAAGAATCTACCAATGGTAAGTATGACAGATTAACTGGGGAGAACTTGAAACAAATGGCTATCAGGACTATATATCTCTAGACTGGCTACATTTGAACCAAAAGCAATGTTCTCATAGAGCCAATGCTAATGAGCCCTGCCTTTCCAGAGGGACTGCCTTGCCGCCCAGTCAGGGCTATCAGAGCCAGGGCAGAGTACAGGTTGCTGAAAAGAGCAGGGTTATAACACCAGCACTCAGACACTGAGGCAGGAGGATTTGAATTCCAGCCCAAGCTACATAGCGATACCCTGCCCATACCTTTAAAGGCTAAGCAAACTATAACAAACTATATGATAAATAGTTTGGGCGAGGGACTGTGCATGAGAAACCTATATTACACGTGATGCCACATTCCTAAGAGAGTGGCAGCAGGAAATTACTGAAGGGCTTTAGAAAGAAAAGAGAACATTTATCTTACTACATTTAAGATCTCTGATAAACTGGAAATTGACTTGGATACTCTAAAACCTGTGCCCAGAAGGTATAGGCATCATGACATATTTTATTTTATGAAAACGGAAATAACATATATTATAGGGTGGGGAGTTAAGACTCAGAAAATATTACCATTATTATTCTTTTACTGGGAAAATTTGTGTGTTCTTTATACTTTGATTAAGTGTTTCTGAAACAGCTGAGACCAAAAGCTACACACCACATTTATTTTGTAACAGTTAAGGCCATAAGACGGTGTTGGATATGACATGCATGCTATCTTGTCTTCCAGATGAATTGATCTTGAATTCAATCACTCTCTGAGAGAAGACATCCCCGCTCGCATAATTTCATCAACCAGGAGAATGTTGGTGGCAATCACTGTGCTAAGAATGAAAAGAGGAGAGTGAGTCAAGGCTCCTAGCGCATGCCTGCGTCTCCCCAGCAATCTTGCGGCAGCGCCGGGCACTTTTTCCTTCGGCTGTGCTGGTGTGAGAGTTTATGAAACAAAGCTATCACGACCGAAGCAGCCCTCCTCACACTGTCATTTTGACTGCTCAGTTGACTCGATAGAAGTCTAATGTATACCCCAGCAAAGCTGCGCTTAACTGTCACGTGGCGCTGCTTCCCCCCCCCCCCCCCCCGACAGTGCTGTGGCGGTACTTCCTGCCTCCCTCTCCCCCTCCAACAGGGAGGGTTAGGTTAGCTTTTCCAGGGACTTACACTGCTGCAGATACAGTGCTTAAGGGACTGCAGGGGGACAAAAGCTAGTCTCAGCAGCTGGCAACTACAATGTCATACACTTCACAATGTCTTCCGAACAAAAATAACAGGAAGCGTCCAAAGCTATCAGTTATATCCCTAAAGGTCTTTCTCTTCTTTGCCAATTTACCATGAGTGAAGAAGATGCTTTTTCACACAGTAATTATCCCAAACTCCTGCTTCTGCTGCTACCATCGGCTCCCCTGCAAAGTAAAAACAAACCTCTTAATACAGCAATCTTGATATACCCTGTCAATGTTGACTGGTGGAGTCTAACAATATTTAATCTCTTACAAAACTCCTTTCGTCAAGGTCACCAGTGACCTCTGTGCTAAGTGCTGTGGGCTCTCGCCAGCCTTATCTACTGCTTGACAGCTCATCATATCCCTCTGACAATTCCTTCTTGACTTTCAGACACCATGCTCCCCTTTCTTTTCACTGTGCAAACCCGTCCAGCCCAAGACTCTTCTATTCTCTCACTATACATATGTCTTAGTCAGGATTACTATTACTGTAATGAAACACTATGACCAAAGAAACTTGAAGACCAAAGGGTTTATTCGGCTTATGCTTCCACACTGTTCATCATCAAAAGAAGTCAGGACAGGAACTCAAATAGGGCAGGACCCTGGAGGCAGGAGCCGATGCAGAGGCCACAGAGGATGCTGCTTACTGGCTTGCTCAGCCTGCTTTCTTATGGAAGCCAGGACCACCAGCCCAGGGATGGCACACCCAAAATGGGCTGGCCCTCCCCCATCAATCATTAAGAAAATACCCTACAGGGTTGTCAACAACCTGATCTTATGGAGACATTTTCTTAACTGAGGCTCCCTCCTCTCAGATGACTCTAGCTTGTGTCAGGTTGACATAAAACTACCTAGCACAACATATTTCCCAGGCGGTCTCATCCAATTTTCTGGGTTTAAACTATCTACATCCTGATAACTCTCTTACCTCCAACACGTATCTTTTTCTTGAGCTCAATATATCAAACAACTTTTCCCAAAAGACCATAAGTACTTCAAACTAGACTTTGCCAAAACTGAACAGTCCCTCAGTCCACAACCAGCTCTATCTAGTTTCTCCCACTGTTAGTGCAATTCTAACCTACTAGTTGTTTAGCTAACTCTTCTCCATAGGGTGGAGAGTGGTCGGAGTGATCCTTTTTTTTTTTTTTTTATTACGACTCCTTCGTTGTTGGCTCGTGTCTTTACGTCTGACCAGTGTTTAAGCATGAGGCTCAAGGGGGTGGTGACAGTCTGTCCTATGGCTGTTTCTAGGAGGAGAACGGTTAAACAGAAAACAAAAAACGACAGACCAATATAAATAAGACTAACACTCGCTGCG